GCAGGAGGTATCCTCTCAAATTGCAGCCTTAACAAATTATCCTTGCATAGCACGACTGCTCTTCTCTCTCAGACTTCGTGTTGTGTCCTGAAAACTCAGCGATCTTGAAACTCTGCTCACTGTGCATTTGTCTTCCCAACACAAAAATAAATTACCATAGCAGCTTTGCCTTTGTTTTAAATGGAATTGAGACGAAAGTGAGACGTATTTATTGGGAGTCTTGGTGAAAACACATGCCAATAAAAAAGAAATTTTTCAAAACAGGAGAACAGCTATACTACATATATTTCTGCAGTTATTCGGGGATCTTCAAGCCAAAAAAGATTCTGAATTCTAACATTTTTAATCACTATTGATTGTACTGAAGTACTGTTTCAAGACCTAAAAGCGTGTGCTGTGGTAAGAACTACACACAAAGTCATAATAAAACAACAGAACCTTTCCTAAACTGACAGTTTATTGAGCTTAACAATAAAACGGTTTGTATTCCAAAGGTGAAACAACAATAAAAAGTAGTAACACAACTTACCAAAGAAAGAAGTCAAAGAAAAGTGAATCAGGTGATAATGGTTATAGGCCTCAATCCTAACATCTTTCCAGATACCTTGAGTGGGAAAAGAAGGGCCCCAGTCCCAACTAAATGAACACTGCTCCTGGAATACAGGATGATTATGTTAGAATTGCCTATTTTTCACACAGACATTGATGCTGTGTGAGAAATAAAAATTATTTGCTATCTAGAAATAAAATATTGTCACGCACTGAAAGATTTTTTCCAATTTCCACAAACCCAGGAGAACCTACAGTATTTTTTCTCTTATTTCTTGACCAGAACTCTGCTGCTACTACCTATATTATATAAAAAATACAATTTTGTATTAAACATCCATGTGTAGCAAAATTTTATGTTAGTGAGAGAGCAAAACACCACCTAGCCCACCACTTAAAAAACAGCAAAGATCAAAAAAACAAGCCAGCAGGTTACTCTCAATTCAACTCTGAATTATCTTAGTTTGTAATGTCAGTATTTAATTGTATACCTAAAAGACAAAGTAAGGAGAAAACTTATGGTTACAAATGTTAAAGTATTCTAAAAGAACAACATCAAATTAAAAATCGTGGGTATATCTGAAATACTTTATCCCCTATTTTTTGTTGTAACACCACAGATTAGTACAAGGAAAGAGATGTGTATGCCTGGTGCATTTGTGTAGTTCAGTCATGTTCACCGTTTCTCCCCTTTTTATGGTTCTCTTATACAAAAACAAAGGGAACAAAAACATGGTTGAGAAATAGCTTAGTTCTAGGTTCTAACATCAGAATAACTGTCAGAATTATAAAATGCTCGTCAGGCAGAGAACTACCTGCACTGCTTTCCATTCAGCTGTTTTCAAACCTGGTCAGACCTCTAGTTAACAAATCCCTTGAAGACATCTATTCAGCTGCCCTCCAAGCTTCACACAGCCCCAGCCCCCAAAGCAAATACAATAGATCTCCTTAAAGTCTTGTAAAGTGACCTACAGTTCTAAATTTAGAGACTAATAACTTACAGCCGAGGCATACTAATTTTGGCAAACCACATTGCACAAGTCTGGCCTATCCCTTGCATCGCTGGAGTCAGCCTGCCTGCCTATCAAGTTGCAAAAGAGCCTTCCAGGAAGCAAGCACTGTACCTATTTCAAGTGTAAAAACAGGGACAACACAATCTTAGAAAACAAGTGAGACTGAGAGTAGTTTTCCCTTTATAAAAAATAAACAAATCAATCACTGACAGATTGTCAGGTTTCACTAATAATATTGCAGAGAACACTATCAGAAATAGTACGTCATAAGAACAATACGCTTGTATCACTGAAGTGCATTACCAGTGAAAGGCTTGCGATTTGCCACAAATTCCTATTAAGATTTAGATACGTTTACTGCACTTAATAATGAACCTCAAACATGTAAACAGCTCTCCATTACTTTAAGATGGTAAGCAGCCAGCTTACTTTAGCAATGTCCTAGTATGTTTGTGACATCACTGCTGTTGTTGCTGTATACTGGGAACTAAAAATGTTTCTGGAAATGTCTGGAGCCGCTTCCAAGTACAGTCAAACAACTCCTTTGAGGAAAAGCACTAAGGTACTTTCTTACAAATTTAAAGGTATAGTTCAGTAAAGCATAAAAACATTCCTGACCATTTTTGCTCTATAAATAAGACTACAGCTGTTTAAGTGCCTTCTTCCTTCCAAGCTCCTCCCTGAACTGATTTCTAAGAAACACAGCGGACTCAGGTGAATTAATTAACTTTCTAAAATGTAGTGAAAATAAAAGTAGCAGCAAGTAGTAATAAAGACAACATCTTAATCCTGAAGGATCTTCCCAGTACAACATGGAGTCCATCTTTCCATTAACAAATTTTAAAGGAAATCACAGCCAGGTTTCCAGTCATTTTTCTGAGGAGGCTCTAAAATGACTTTATTGAAAAGATTTAAAATAATTAACAAGAAAGGCATTTAAGTGGAGACAAACATGCAAAAAAGAGAAATTCCAAAATAAGATCACCCAGCCATTGTCTCTAGCTGCGGCAAAGCTATCAGAAATACATGAGATGCTACTCAAATGATAGTTTGCCTTGAGTAAGTTTTAACAGCATTGAAGCTATGTCTTAAATCAGAGTTTCCGAGCTTCATTCATTGTATATTACATTGTTGTTTTCACTGAATATGTACTTATAAGTCACACTTCACAACACCATAATAAGATAAGAACAGGTCCTCTGTTAGATAACACTTCTTGGGACATGCCAGAGCTGCCCAGTATAAATAGCACAGCACATGAGCAATAGCAAACACTCACAAAGCTGCTTGGCTGAGATTTTTACAGCCTTGGCAATCTACACTGGTATTTGCAAGTGTGAACTCTATTGTCGGCATACATTGCTAAACCCACCCAGTGGATCAAAATGTAATGATTACGCATTTCCCAATGCTACCCTGCCCTCTCAGCAGCAAGTCTCCTTGCTGACTCCTTGATGAAAACAGCCTTTTAAAAATTCTTATCACCTAGATATGAAGCCTGGCCTTCTTATGCCTCTTGTGTTATCGACATGCTAGATTACAGGTTTCTGGGGGGGACAGGAGAAGGAAGCTGCAATAAAAAATATGCCCTACTTATAAAATGACATTGCAGGTTTCAGAATACATCTGTAAGGACAGCACGTGGTGCATTCCTCTTTCCAAGCCTGAAGCCAGAGACAGACAATTCTGCCCCTACCTTTCTGATGAAATTAGCATGGCACTCTCCTTTCTGCACAGGTGGAGGGCACGCCGGGGGGATGCTGTATGCTTTGTGACATCTGCTCTGCTCCGCTGCATATGAAACGGCTGATAAGAAACGGACTTCGACAAAATTGACCTCCTTGATCACACTGGTAATATCAAAGCTCTAGGTCAAGAAAACAGAACAAAATCATTACAGCACTGACAGTTATTTATGAGATTTACAATCACTGTTACGTTGGGATTTTAATACCATACATATATTATTCAAAGGCATTTGAACTACAGTCTCAACAGGCTCTGGTTTTGAAGGAAAAGAAAAGCTACTTCTTAAGCTGAAAAAAGAAAATACACAGTAACATTCCAGATACAAGGAGATGTTTCTGGGCAAACCACTTTCCCCATACTGAGCCCCCACTGCAGGCTGCAGCACTCTGCTTGCACACAGAAGTGCTTGAAGGACAAGGAAGGCAAGAGAATCTTTACCTTCCTTCCTCACTCAGAACTCCTCTGCATCTTGAGAAAGACACCTTGTTCCAACTCAGAAAGCTGGTCTATACAGGAGTCCTTCCAACTCACACTGTGCTGCCAGCTTATCTACTGCAAAGCACTGAGCTGCCTTTTGCGTGAATGCAGCAAAGCTGTATTTCATGCCACCTGCACTCTCATCCCCAAAACATACAGATGCACATTCTATGCCAGCACCAAATAAAGCATTTGGGGGCTTCCTCACTGGCTCACAAAATCCCCTTCAGTGTGGCTGGATAGAAGGATAAATGTTTGGTTTCAGAATTATCCAGTGCTATCAAGATAATGTGGTTCCAATGGCTAATACCCATTTCTTCTTCACAGCGTTCATTTGTGACAAGACAAGTCTTGGCAATTTTTTCCAACTTGTGAGCAGCCCAGCTAGCATCACTTACATCTGTAGTATACAGCAGAAAATTACAAAGCAAATAGCATCCCCCCCACAGAGCCTTCACAGGGTCCTTCCTGCAGACATAGTCGTCATGTGGAACAGGTGAACAAAGCAGAAGTCTGGGTCACAGTAATCCCAGACTCTAATACAGTTCACTCCGGTTTTACAGTGAAGGCCATTTCATGAACTGTTACAGTCTGAGATAGAATGAAGTTGCAGAAATAAGGACAAAATAATATCACTTCCCAATTCTACAGAGCCTGCTACTGGCAATCCTTTAGATACTCTCCAAATAGTAAATAATTACACTTTTGTAAGAGCTCTATGAAATTTCTTATTTCACAGATGGTAAAACTAAGTCACAGAGAAACGAAGTGATTTGTCCCAGGTCACACAGACCCAGGTGGCAGAATCTAGCTCTCATGTCTCAGGCCAGTACCTCTGCAATAAAACCTGCCAGAATGGTAAATGCTGAGATATGAAGACACCAGATATCCTCTGTAATTCAGTTATCCCACTAACATGCTTCCTTTAACTTTTCCTTTTTTGATTATTTTAAGAGAAAAGCAAGAATAGTCCCTTATCCTAGTACCCAGAATAATTTTATATTTTAAAGCTATAAAATCAGTTTGAATGTGTTTGCCACTCTCAAGATCATTCCATGATGAGTACTCTCATGCTGACATAGGCTAAGCCCAAAAATGCCAGACAATGTTATCAAAAGCCCAATATTAAAAATCAAAAACCCTATATAAAAAAAAGCATGGAGACACTTACAAAGGCTTTGCAACACGTGCATTTTCATTTCAGTATTCACATGTAGACCATTCTAATACCAAGTAGTAAGCAGATTTACAGCTAATATAACAGATTTAAGCTTACGGTTTGGAGCTGTGACAGATCCCAAGAAGCAAGACTTATTAGCTGAATTGATCCTCTTGATGGGTCCACTCATTTAGAACAAGACACATTCACCTCTAGATCTGACCCTGTTGCTACTGAAAAGGTAAGTACACTTCTCTTTCTAACAGTTATCTGATTACACGTGCAGTCCTCAGGTCAACACTTTCTGCATCCAAGGACCTATTTTTATGTGTACTTGAATGCACTGAAAGTGCTCAGCACAAAAGGGCTCTGAAGAAAAAACAGAAGCACCGTCAGAGTTAAACACATTACTTACATATCTGTTGAACATGTTGTCTGTTCTCCCAAGAGTGATATTGTTGATCAGGATCTGCGCTACTGTATCTACTCCCTCGAAAACCAAATTCACTTTCTGCCACTTTCTACAGAAGATAACATACGCACAAAAAACTGTTAGAATACCTAGTGCTAACAACACACAGGAGACAGACAATATGAAAATGTACGTCACCATTATCTTTAGCAGCAGTTGTCTCAGCTACCTCCAAAAATGTTTGACTTAGTGTGGCTACATTGTATCTTTAAATAGTCAAATTAAGGTGACAGCTGAAGTGGCTCAAGTCTGCAATGCAGCTTGTTCACATACCCACCAGATACCAGATGGACTAGCTTCCAATTAGCCTAAGTATTATCCTTCCTTAGTAGGCAATTCATAAGTAATTTTTAACAATTAACAAAAAATAGGAAAAAGCAAGTACTGAAGTGTTCTTTAGCAACAGCTTTGCAGCTGCACATTATTGCATAATTTGTTTTACTAGATACAAAAGTATTAAGCAGATTTTGAGCTGATGGATTAACTAGCAATTCTGCATGAAAAATGGCACGGAACTATTTTAGACATATCTTTACTGCATACCTGACATCAAAAGGAGTTTTGAATGTCCTGCTGTAAGTCCAGTTATCCAGTGAGATCCATCTGTACATCACGTCATTAAATCTATAGTACGGATCCTAATAACAGACCAACAAAAGGAAAATTACACGACTGACTTAGTAATAGTGTTACTACATAAAATGTATCATAATATCCATTAGATGAGCACTTCTTATTTCAGACAGTTTGCAAATGCAAAATCCACCTTATTTAGTTAGTCCTGATATTCCTTTTCACCTTTGAAATAATATGTGAAAGCAAAGCTTTGGTAATATTTGACTTGACTTATATAGGTCAAAACCTGTTTGCTATAATCATTCATACTCAAACTAGAGGGAGCAGGATTTTTTTTTACATAAGAAATGACTGGGCTGGAAATTAAAAAAAATCAATACAGCTTGTGACAATGAGAGGAACAGAAAAATGATCACCCTCATAATGATGGAGAAAGTAAGACTAATAGGATTTTAAGAGGCAAAGAAACAGCATTTGAGGCCTCTAGGGACAGCAGTGAACAAATCTCTACAGTTTAAAATAATTGCAAATACTCCAGTTGTTTCTTGTCAACCAGACTAGATGTGGTACGGCTAAATGAAATTGTTATATTTGGAGGGAGGGAGAAAGAGAAGAAGGAGAAGCAACACAATTTGGTTTGTTGTATAAAATTAAACTACTACTTTTGAGAATAACGCTGCATTTATACCGAATGTGTTCTTTTCCCTTTAGTCACACTACCCAGGAAAAATAAAGGCACAGCTGGTCTCCGCTATGTCCTCGACCTTTTTGGCCTCATGCTGTATTTATTACCTTATGGTGGGTCACAACGTTCCTCACCTAGGCTGAGGGAATCAGTTATGTGAACCTGACAACCCACCGCCTTGCACCTCATACAAAGGCAGCAGAAAGGTACGGTGTTACATCCCCATGTCAGACAGTTCAGAGTGCAGATATCCCGGTCAGTGACTGACAGCTCAGTTCAATCCTCTTCAGCAGTTGCACAGCTGAACTGCTTTCCCAAACCAAAGACGAATCTCTTCTGGACTACGTGACTCAAACCCAGCTAAGAGAGAGCATAGCTGCATTAAGGTTCCCTTTGATACGAGTCTTCTACAGTACCAGCACAGCTAACTATCTGCCCTGAATATCCATTCACACTGAAGAAAATCTGCCCAGCTTTTTTTTTTTCCTCTTGCTGAAGCTCAATTTTTCTCCCCATTTCAGGAGTCAGTATAGATACTAATGACACTTCTGGATTTGAAATCTTCTGAAAAACATTGTTTCATACCTCATATTTGTTTTACAACTAATAGGGTCAGGCTCTGTAGTATAAACACAAACCGATTTACATAGCAGAGCAAAATCGTAACATCTAAGTGACTGTCCTCAGCAGCATAATCTCTTCTGGAGTCTCACAGCAATATAAACATCATTCCTTGAGCCCATACAGAGGGAAAGTTGTTGCCTTGCCTCTACATGCTATGCTCAATCAATCAAATGTCTTACTACAAGGGAGTAAGAGTCAAGAAGGAAAGATCTTGTTACCTCAGTTATACTGTGACCCCTGTATTGGTAATCTGGTAATTACTGAATTTTAAGATATCCATACCATTACTTTTATATGCAAAATGCTTGGGGAATATATCTCAGACTTTTATTAAGATGCAAAATTTAAGGCTAATAAATGCATATTAAATGCAAAATTTAGGCTCATAAAAGTAACTGCATTAAGATTACTGTTTTGAGACAACGGAAGGCAAGCGTCAAATGTCAGAGGCCATGAAAACTCACAATATGTCCTTAAAAAGCCCATTTTTAACAACTGTCTTGCTTTAACATGATATACTATTTTATTTTAGGTTATGCTTTGGAAAATGTGCATGTTAAATGTCAATCATTGCCACTTGTATGTGTGAAATATTTAACAAAAGGCATAAGATACAAATTGTAAATGCACTAGCAACAGCAGACTGTAAAGCCAAAACCCATTTGGTTGGTGGTCAAACAATCGACATCAGCGCCTCATCAAAGATCAAGACCCTGCATAAAAGAAACATGCACTGTTTCTCCCACCAAAGCATGGATACTGAGATGTTAATGAAGAAAGACCTGACATCTGGAGAACACAAAACTGGTTGTCTAGCAGCAGAAAGGTAGGAATGTTTCATCAGAGGCAGAAATTACATCATCAGATGGGCTCTTACAGCAGTTTACAAACAGAGCTGCTTGTTTAAATCTCCTCAGAGCATACTGCAGATCCTTTTTCCTGAAGGGGCTTTCTTCTGTACTAGTCTAAAACCTTCAGACTTCAATAAATGCATTGACTGCTAAAATATGTGTCATAGAAGGTGCTAATTAGCCCCTTCTGACTCGTATGAATACTGTTTCTTCCTCCCAGGCATCCACCTTTCCAGGTGGGAAACTCCTAGTTCTGTGTTCCTTTATATAAAACTTAACAGCTCACTGATACCATTGCTACATAACTAGTAAAACAGTTTATATATCACACAGAAAAGCTGTTAAATGCTAATACTGGTTAGTCATTTTAAGCATGACAAATGTTGCTTGTTGTAAAAGCAGTCATGTGGCAATGCTTCTAAGGCAATTCTCAAGGTTCAGGAAAAATGCATGACCACAACGAAGTCCTGTAAGAAGGGAAAATGACTTCTCCAATACACTTGTGAGATTATTGACTTTTTCATTATTAAATGCAATTGTTTTGAGTGCTGGAAGATGTACCTACAGAAGTCAAATTGTTTGGGTTTATCTGAAACAGAATTTCATCCCACATTAAATCAGCTCACATTAAAATCAAAGGTTTATTTCAGAAAACTGCATGAAAAAAGACAATTTTAAAACTCTTAAGGGCACTGGGAGAACTTGAAAGATGGTAGGAAATAGACTGCACATGTATTAAATATACTTCACATTCATTAGCTCAACATGTTCCTGGAAGCAAGTCATAAAGTGGTGGACTCAACTACAGCTATTTTTAGATCCCACCAAACATGACAGCCTTGCATTTTTCTGCTCCCTGCAATTCGGGGAAAAATTCAGAACCACTCAAGATGCCTGCCTGTTTGTTCTCTGCTCCCAGCTTTAATGCTGTAAGCAAGCAGCAAATCACCTGCTAAGATGACGTAAAAAGCCCTGCTACAGAGCATCAAAAGGAAGCAATTTCCAGTTCAGATAACAGGACATCAGCAGAACTTCAAAAGCACTGGCAGCACTAAACTGAACGCGCTGCCAAGCGGCTAGATGGAAGCTCCTCCTTGCAATGATTTTAAGGGGATACTGAAAAGCTATGAGCTTCTCCTGTTAAGCGGGAAATGGATGAGACATGAACACATCCGCAGTGAGGCTCAAAGCCCAAGTGAGCAGTTGTGCCAGGCATGCCCTGGCCCCATGAAGGGCCGGCTTCAAGCCCCCGCGCAACCAGGAGTCCAGGGGAGCACGGCGCAAACACCTGAATGACACTAGACAGAGTCAGCTGGATCCAGGTGGAAGATCAGCATGTAATAAAATGAAATGTAATAAAGGGAACAAGAACCAGATTCCTTTGCCTTATCCTGCTTTTGTTATGATCTAATTTGAAACTGCCTTGCATGCTCTTCTCTCATAAATCAACTTTGCTGGTATTTTATAATGTACACCACAAGAAAATCCTGCTGATGTAACAGATTACCAAAATAAAACTTGCAAGTGATGTTTCATGATTTACAGTTTAATGATTTTGCTGTTGCCAACTTCAGACTGGAAGCTAAATAGTTTAGATACTTATCTATATCCACACGCTCCTTGATATCTCAAGCGATGGCAGTCAGGACATTTATACAATTTTCAGCAAGCCCAGTTTCACATATTCACAGCTTGAAGTCAAGCTAAACTAACAGTAGTGATGAATGGATCATATTCGTGGAATATGAGTTTTGGAAGTTCATCCTAAAGTGATTAATTTTCAGTAGCTACTCTAACAAAGCAGTAAACTGAATGTCACCTTAAGCTCAACTATTTAATCAATGAATGCCATAACCTGTTAGAACCACAGGATACCCATCGCAATTGTTACCTGGCTTGCTCTGAAAAATCTAAGTGACGATGAAGTGTCAGAAAATACACAACATGTTTTATACAAATGCAGAAGCTACAAAAAATACGCACTACTTTACAGAACTGCAGAAATATCACTTGAGATACAAAAGCTTCTGTCTCTTCTAATATATTTTAATATCCAAGTTTGACCAAGACCACTGTAACCTTCTGTCAGGTGCATGCCCTTGTTGTATAACAGGGCAGAAACTGCAGTGTTATCCAGACCCTATGTTAGCATCACAGTTGCAGACCCCCCATAATAGTTCTTTACAAATCAAAGTGATAGCTAATAAGACAAAACAGCCTTTCTGTATGAATGCAGATGGCTGGCAGATGAGAAAATCCGGCTACAATAGCCATATTCATCAGAACTGAAATTTTATAGGAGTCACCTGCCAGCAGAAATGGCATTATACACTGCTTGGACTGTACATGCTAGAGGACGGCTATTTCTAGCACAAAGATTTAACGCACAAGTTACCTGCTGATACATATGGCTTATCAGAACCGTGCCTGAAAAAAAATACTACACTGACAGTAGTTAAAAACTAAATCTTCAGACAAAATGGTTTCTGCAAATCTTCGTTTTCCAGAGATGTAGGGTTAGCAACAGATTCGCTGCAAGTTTGTAAAAAGTCTGCGCTTATGCCTAAGCTTTGCACTAACTTTATTCAAGTGACTATTACCCTTGTTTATGTGCATTTCTCATGTCTTTTTTAGATTTTACATGTAAATAGTACTAAGAGCTATGGAGTCCTAATGAAATGTTATTAAAACAACCCAGGTGAACACATACTCTGATGCTATCTCCTGCCCGTAGAGCTTTTATCACAGTTAATCCAGCATTTGGACTATGTTGGTTGAACGCGGAAGAAAATAATACTTCGGTAGGAAACTCCAAAGTATCTTCCCAAGAGCATTTTCTAGGATACATGGATTTGGTGCATTCAGAAAGATGTGTTCATCCAATGTATATTTTATAAGCCAA